CACCCTGATATGATACTTGTGCATAAAACAGTCATGAATGAATCCCGATAGACATTGCAGTACCAATCCACTATTTCAAACCAGTTAGTTATCCCTAGATCTATGTTACAGTCCATTATAAAGAAGTTTAAATAGTTTGGCACAACAGAGAATTTGTCTGGGCGTGGAAGAAAACCCAAATTGTCACCAAGACCTGCACGAAAACTGAGTTGCGAGGTTAATATAAGCTCAAGAGTTGTTTTGAAAGACATTGCTAAAAGTTTGGATATGATGGGTATCAGTGTAAGTACAATACAATATTGTTTTCTTAGAAATGGGTTGCATGGAAACTGACCATGACAAATCCCTCTTCACAAAATATGTTACATTGTTGCTTGGATTAATTTTGCTAAAACGTTCTTGGACAATAAAATTACATTTGGGAACAAGTCCTATGAAGTGATAAAACAAAAATTGAGTTTTTTGGACATAATGATGTAAAGAAGATTTGGCACAAGAAAGGTGAGACTTTCCTTCAAAGAACACAATGGCAACATTAAAACATGGAGGCGGTTCAATGATGTTTTGATGCTGTTTTAGCTCAAGGGGAACTGGACAATTAATTGCAATAGGTGGGATAATGAAATTTGCAGACTATAACAAAATTCTGGTGAAAATCTACAACTATCAGTGCAAAATCTTCATCTAGGTTGGCAATTTAATTTACAGCAAGACCCCAGACATACTTCTAAATCAGTGATTGTGTGGCTTCAGAAAAAAAGATTACAGTTTTGTCATGGCTTTCAATGAGTCCTGACTTGAGTCCTATTGAAAATCTATGGGAAGAATTGAAAGTTCAAATAAATCGTCAGTCACCAAAAACCTTCAGGAATTAGAATGTGTAACCATTGAAAGATGGAAGAAAATCCCAGAAAAGACTTGTTCAAATCTCATCAAAAACTTTAGAAAAAGATTGCAACAAGTTATAAAGGTGAGAGGCCATGCTATTGATGATTAATGTTGTGAAAATTTTTCAATTTTTTCTATTTTTTATAATGTACAAATAATTTTGTCTTTTCCTATTTTACATAATTCGCCAGTCAAATTTGTAGTATTAAACTATTGTTCTGAAAATTGATTTTTATATTCCTTTTTTTTGTGCTTATTTACATATAAAAAGCCTGGCATCTTATGGACATTAGATTCTGAGAGATGGATAAAAATATTCAAAATTGATAGGTGTAGGAATAATTTCATCTTTGACTGTACCTTTTTACCAACTCTCATCATCAGGATAGTTGAGTTGCAGTTTTTAACCAAAATATCTGAGAAGATTGATGCCTCCTGTCTGATTATTCCTCAGCTAGACATCATATATCTGTCAGTTTCAATGGTCATTATGATTCATTCATTAAAGAAAAAATGGTGATGAAGGTTATTGCTATTTAGACATTTCAGAAAATGAGAGAAAAAGAATGAATTTTTAGTGAAGACAAAGATACAAAGAGAAGAAAGAATAAAAAGATGAATGCAAGTTCAACAAGAAAAACAGAAACAAAACAATGCAATGTGATGTTTCTGAAATAACTGTTTGGTTCTAAATAAAGACTACATGAGTCGGCCCATCTATTTGTCAAAATTTCATCACAATTTTCCTATAGTAATTTCTAAATAGTACGCAATTGATTTATTGATTATAGTTAAAAATGGATTGCATATATTCTGACAATTTTAACTTTCCTCCTAAGAATTATACAAACAAAATTTGTTCTGAAAAATGATAAGCATGAACATTCTAGTAAAAAATATGTCACAGAGATTTTCCAACAAAAAACGTTACACAAAGTCATTCTGAGAAATGGATGAAAATATTTAAAACTGATGTGTGTACGAATAATTTTGTAATTGACTGTAATTAGTAGAATTTAGGAATGTAGTTCATCTGAATGAATTTCATGGAAATAGAAATTGAGCAGAGAGAGGCTTGTAGTGTTTCATCTGTGGGAAAGGTGTTGGACAGTAGAAAATAATTTGTTACCCACAAGGACGCGGAGACACTTTTGGACTCTATCAAGACATGGGACTATTTCCAGGAACCTTTCTTCTAAGCCAAACACCTTGAAGATATCTAACGTCATTGGGAGTGCACTAGTGGTAGCACTGCTTGGAACACCTCACATGTTGAACAAAATGTTATGTCTTTAAGCTGCAGCTAAGAGATGAGATATGACCCTCATCGTCCTGCCAAACCATCTGAAAGACAGGATATCAAAACAAATAATCATAATCTGTTTATATATAAAATACTGTGACTTCTGTTAGTCCATTTGTCATGCCCTCTAAAATAGCCACACATTGACCTATCAAAATCAAATTTTAGTGAGAAGTGCAAACAGGTAAGCGGGTAAAAATTACAGTTGGTTTCATTAAGGTGCATAGCCTTGTACAATAAATTTTCATTAATATTTTTGGAAAAGTTAAAAGTTTTACTATTTAGCATACAATATACTTTTACATATCTTTTAAGTTTATATACAATAATCCAGTTTCCAGTTCACCCTGCATTTGCAAGAACTATAGACAAATCTCTAGGCAAACATTTCAAAAAGTTGGAATTTGGCTCCAGAAAGAAATATTTATGTATGGCCAGTTGTATGTTGCATGCTCAAGAGTAAAAAATCCTATACCTTTATTCTTTGCTGTTAAAAATGGAAAAAAGAAAATTTTCTTAAAAATTTTTTCTACCATGATGTCCTATAAAATTAAATTAAATTAAAGAAATTATTAAACAGCAAAGTAGAATTTTTGTTAAAGTATATTTCCAAACTTTGCCAAGGGTATTTTAGCAATGACTGTGCTTGGAATTTGAACTTTGTATGAGGATCCCACTTTTCTCACTGGTAATAACTACGCACATGCACACACATGCGCACACACATGCACACACACACATGCACACACACACACATGCACACACACACACATGCACATACACACACAAACATGCATATATTTAAAGAAAAATATGCACAATATCAGGGATAGAGCATATGTAAATACAAAAGTGGACATTGGGATCAACACTCAGTGGATACATTCCATTACATCCTGAGACACGATTTTCAGTTTATCTGGATATGTATATATATATATATATATATATATATATATATATATATATATAAAATTAATTTTGGGGATTTAGGCTTATAGCAATGAGTCTAGAAGAATACTCAACAGAATGCAGAAAGCACTGGACAGCCATTTCGTCCTATCTGGGACTCATCAGCAGTGCACATCCAATACTGAGAATCAAACCCGGACCGTTTCAATACAATGCAAACGTCATACAAACTGTACCACAGGACCTGGTGATGAAGAAGACACAAACTAGACTCGATATAGCATGCTACTCACTCATTTCCGCAGCGATACTCATCCAATTCAGTTAACCTCGGAACAGTGCCCCAAGAGCCACGACTGCTTTTTGACCCTTATATATATATATATATATATATATATATATATATGATGGATGGCAGCATGGCCAAATGGTTAGAAAGAACATTTGTTTTCTGAACATGAGACCCAGGTTTGAATCTCACCATGGTTGATTTGTCAGGAAGGAGACTTCCTGATGTTATTGGACTCGATCAGGGTCAATCCCAGCATGAAGCACCTTTGGAAAGTGCCTGAAAATTGCACCACAGGTTGACTCAAGCTTGTGAGTGAAATTGGGTAGATGGGCCCTTGTGGACTGTCAATAGCTGTGCTAGTACAAAGCCACATGTATCATAGCCAAGGGCTTGTGCATGCTGGCCATGTTCAAATTGTTGACCACACTAGATAACATGCTTTCTCCCAGAAACTGTAACTAAGGTCTGCTCAGCATAGTTGCAGTATAAACCACAGGTAGGTTCTGTGGGTCTTGAGCAATCACAAATGTGCCTGAGCGAGCGTCTGCAATAGGGATTGGCTAGTCACCCAAGTATACGGGTATCCTCGAATACGAGTGGCCAGCTATGTTATATATATATATATATACATATATATACAGGGAAATTTTGTAGAACCATCTTCAATGCCACTTTCATAAAAAAATATTCACTAAAATATCAGAATTAAATAAACACAACATTTCACACATCACACACACACACATATATATATATATATATATATATATATATATATATATATATATATATATACATACATATATATATATATATATATATATATATATATATATTATGCACCTAAATGATTCTGCCTCCAGCAGGAATCTTCTGCCTGCCTCACATGCCCACTTGGTAATACTCTTCCTGAAAATCGCATACATCGATTTCTCACCAAACTCTTTTATGTCAATATGCCTTTCTATTACTGACACATTTATTCCCATGCAAATTTAGTGTTGCCGTGGAAACAGAAATCTGAATGAGGCCAAGAGATGTTTAACCTGGGCTCAAAATACTACTTGGGTTCCCTGAACGGCGACAACTATTATTATTCTCTTCCAGACCCCACACCCGGAAGACACAGTGGTCGACAGAACGGTATTGAGATGCAATTAACTCTCCTCTCTAATTTTCTAATATGCAACGTTTGTTTGGGGAGACGTCGTATCGGGAAATCTCTGATCCAGCCGACTAATACATACCAAGTGATATTGACTGGCTTCCCCGGAGCATGCAAAGATAACATTTATTGATACCATGATTGAAGCTCTGGGCACCTGTTGGGGAAGAGTCTCTTTTATTGTTTTGGCCTCGTCTGTAGAAACAGAATTCACTCAGTTCCTCATGTTTGCTTTCTCTGTCTTTGCTTACATTTTAGGTGCTTAGGGGTCAAAAGCATTTCCTCATGGTTCTTAATAATCATCCAAGTTAAGCAAAACTGAAAATGGTCAATATTAGAATGAGTGACAGTTTAGAAACTCAATTCTATCTCCAGAGGTAAGCCATTGATTTTTTTTTTTTTTTTTCTGCCATTTTAATCTGATGTGCCAAATTCTCAACAGTTAGGTTAAAAGAAAGATAAGAGAGTAAAAAAAGAGAAAGAAATGAAAGCTTAGTAAAAGAGGGGCATAAGAGAGAAAGAGGAAGAGAAAAAAAATGAAGATTTATTAAAAGGGTGTGTAAGCGAGAAAGAGGATAAGAAAATGGAAAGTTTATAAAAGGGGGTGTAAGAGAGAAAGAAGAAGAGTAAAAAATGAAGGCTTATTAAAAGATGCAAAGATAACATTTATTGATACCATGATTGAGCAAACACAAATGTGCCTGAGCAAGTGTCTACAATAGGGATTGGCTAGCCACCCTAGTAGATGCGTATCCTCGAAAATGAGTGGCCAGCTATTTTATAAATATATCAGCAGCATGGCCTGGCATTGCCCAAGCTTGATTCAAAAATCGTACAACTCATACAGCAATCACTATCACTTGACTTAAAATATTTTTGCCCTTCCTTGACTTTAAAGGAGTGCCCTTTGCTGTGCTGATGTTGCTACATGCCTTACTTCTTGCCTATCCCATACTGCAAATTTTTTCTAAGCTCTATACTAAACATTAAATCTGTTACGATAAAAGAACTAAACAGAATGAACACAAAATGATCAGCTTTAAAAAAGGACTCATAACTGGAAAAACCAAATGAAAAAAGAATGTTAACAACAAATACTTTTGCACACCCAACCCAGTTCTGCGGAATCAGAATCAACATTGAGTTTAAGCAAGCGAATGAACCAATTGGAGTAAAGTGCCATGCAGATTTAAATTTTTCCCACTTGTGACGAATGCAGCTATCGATTTTTTTGCATGCTAGTTAACATTTGTGTCAGTCAGCTGTTGGCTCTCACGCTGGCCAATAGAATCTTCCTGCCTATTCGTGGCAGCCAGCTATTGGCTCTCACTCTGGCCAGTAGAAAATGGCTGCAAACTACATGAAAACTGCCGTAGAAGCATGAAAAAATCGATTATTTCCACTGTCGATGGGAGTTGGGAAATGCAAAGTTGGTCTTGGCCTTCCTGCTAACTTGGATCATGTGCATGTCAACTTTGGTGCAAATCCGTCAAAAATTGCGTCTGTGCATTCATTACACACACACACATCCTGCCTTTTACATATATATATATATATATATATATATATATATATATGTATAGGGAAATTTTGTGGAACTATCTTCAATACCACTTTCATAAAAATATATTCACTGGAATATCAGAATTAAATATAGACATTTCACACATCACACATGCACATATATATATATATATATATATATATATATATATATATATATATATATATGTATTTTAGGCAGCAATTTTTCATTGATGCATGTTTCATTAAATAATATAGACATGTTTTGTCTATTTATTTTAAGTAAGTTCCTTTCATATTGTCTGATAAGCCTAATAACATGAGCTGCAATGTGATTTTCGCTTTCGTGTCTCGTATTCACGAGTTTGTCATTGCTTTGAAATTTTTCTTGCAACAAAAACACACTATCATTATTGTTTTGTCTGTGTATTGCTTGATATATTGAAATGTAATTGTCATCTTTGATAATGGTTTATGTAAGCTGAAAGCTTAGATCGGATTTAAACATGTATCAATATGGTGATTTCCTTTCGTCTTTCAAGGATAATGTTATTAAGCTTATCAGACAATATGAAAAGAACCTACTTAAATCAAATAGACAAAACTTTTCTATATTATTTAATGAAACATTTAATATATATATATATATATATATATATATATATATATATATATATATATATATATATATATATATATATATATATATATATATATATACAATAGTATACAAGAGAAAGAGGAAGAGAAAAAAAGAAGACTTCATGAAAGGAGGTGAATGCAGAAACTGTATTGAGAGAATAAAGAAGAAAATGTGGTATGCCATAAGAGGTTATTCCCCTTGTTTGCCAAGAAACTTCTATTAATTACCACTAGATGGCACTGCCAAATTGCAGTATAAAACACACAAAACCAAAAGTTTTTTCTTTCTCTTTTCTTGCAGCCACAAAATGCCTTATAGACTGGACATGTCTCGTTTCTCAACTGGTGGCCTTTTGATTACCAGGAAACCTAACGTTGCATTGAAAACAACACAGAAAGTACACAGAATATAAAATGCCTTCAGCTTATTTGACTACACATGAGGATATATAATATTCTATATCTATAATTCTCAAATTGTGTGTGCGTAAGTAGATGTGTTCATGTGTGATTGGATGTTGTTTATGCATTTCGACAGTTAATATCTTACTTTGATGAAATTTTTTTGTTTGATAGATAATTCTTCAGTGCCAGTTTTGAGTCCAAATTGTTGGCGACAATGGCTCTCCACTACTTCCTGTCCATTATAACTCTCAGCAATGTTTTACTGTTTACTATCTGTTCTTGGATATATATCTTTCATAAAAACTTTACTAAAAATAAATAGTTTAAATTATTACAATAATATTATTTATTATTATACAGTTCCCTTTTCAGGGCCACCTCCCCCCATTCAAATTGTTAACCCCCCATTTGGGGATTTGCCTTAGTTTCACCCAAATGTTGTTACTAATATTGATTTTTGGGTGGGCTGACTTAAAACTTAAACTGCTCCAATTGAATGGTAAAAATTCCCAGTAATGAAAGACCCAGGCAAAGATGGGTTATATTGCGAGTGTATAATAATCCCAAGGAACTTTTCTCAAAATGTAGATTTTCACCATTTTTAATAAAATTATGTAGGTATGAAAATGGACATCCATTTTGAGACACTCCATACAAACACCAATATTACTCCATATATTTTTATTAAGATGAAATTTGTTGCTACTACTTCTAAAACAATAAAATATATAATTAATAGAGCCAATAATTTCACCTATAATAAACGATCTCAAAAATATTGTACTTATTAAAAGAGATTAAAAAGATTCTTGGAAGTATATTAATTGATTTTTGCCAAATTAATAAACTTATGCTTTTGATTTTTTTCAAATATTTTCCTTTTTCTGTGAAATTTTCCTTTATCAAACCAATATATGCGTGACTGTAAAAAATTTTACAAATTAAAATTACAGTTAATAAATAAACAGTTAACTTTTCAACTGTAACCAGGATCATTGAGTCAATGCAAATGATCCTTTCATTAGCTGCATATTATGTACTTCACCAGGGTTACATACACTTCTGAATTTGAAGTTTTCCTTCTTCTAGACTTGTTGTCACCCAAGGCTATACAACTCATTCTGTCCTGTTATTTATCCATAGCTTGGTTTTTAAAAAATTAAATATAAAGAAAGAAAAGAAAAATACTAAAAATGAATAGATAAATAAATAATAATTACATATATAAAAAAATCAATGACAACAATTTACTTTCATTTAATAGGCCATTACTTAGTGCCATTCATAGTTTACCTTTCTTTACACAGTAAGTTTTTAGAAAATTTTAGAGTAATCTCTAATTAAAAATTTGAAAATTTTTCTTATTTATTTTCTCTGCATTACTTCACTCTTTCCTCGATAAAGTTCTTTAAGGTATGAAACACACTGCCATGAAAGGTCTTTCTCTTGTCTTTTCTTTCATTTATACTGTCTTTAAAGATATATTTTATTTATATCTGTATTTTCATACACACATACACAGTAGTTTAGAAAGTTTCTTATATCTTTTAAAGATAATATTTGTGAATACTGTTCTACAGGCTAGGTATTGAGTGACAGGAATTGGTTGATATCAGAGTAGATGTTACTCTGTTGCTGATTTATAAAAGAGAAAATTTTACACACACACATATACACACACACAAACAGACACACATGCATGTTTTTATATACAAATACAAGTGTTGCCAAAAGTCACACAAGCTTTGAAAAACTGTGCCAACATTATATTTAAATAAAGTAAATAATGTCAATGTCTATATATGACAATATATCATTTCGAAATTGTATTGCTTTAATTATGGAAGATGATGTCACACAAATTTCTGCCAGGTTCACATTCTTTTCTGATTCAGCCTAACTTTGGGCCATTGCATATATATATATATATATATATATATATATATATATATATATATATATAAAAGTTTACTGAATCAGAGAAACTAAATAGCTATTTTTTGCCGTCATTGTCAAAAATTTTTGAACGTAACTAATAACTGATGCAACAAAAGTTAATAAAAATGAACATGCTACCACCTCTTGTCTGAATGATTGGATCTCTCTGTATCCTTGGAAACAAATATTATGAATGTATGTGTTTATAAAACTCAGTAAATTTCAAAATAAGTTACTCCAAAATTCGCTTGAGGAAATGGAACTAATGTTTTTAATTTAATTACAAAATTAAATTCAAAACTTTTAGCTTCCATTTTTGAAACATGGTTATTACTGTGTAAGGAAAAAAACATATTTTAAAGCAGTTAATTTATAATATTAATGCTCTGTAAATTTACATTTTGTAAAAATGAAAATATCAATGAGAACACCAGATTATATATCTTACTGTTTCTATCTTTTTATTTATATATATATATATATATATATATATATATATATATATATATATATTGGTAGTCTCTCTCATCATAGCAGCTCTGTAAAAGAAAGAAGTTCTCAAATTTTATGGCCATGCATGTGTTTACTGAGGCCTACAGATGTTGGGCAAAATTTTGGACAAATGGAACATGTGGTTCAGCCATTTTGCTATTGTTGTTGAGGATCAATTGCCACATGTTACCACAATTGGACAGCAAGGCCTGATTGACTGCATGCAACAAAGCCAGATTGATGAGTATGGTATCATTGAGAAGAGCAGCATACTGCAAACTTCATTTAATATTTGCATGCACTGGATTCTGATGTTAAAGCCAGCCTCATTTAAACCTTTGTATAAATGAGAAGTAGGACAGTCACCAGCACCTACATTCTTAGGCTTCATTTTCCCAGGAAGAAAAAGGCATACTGCATCACTTGAGTTTGTCCTTGAAATGCAAGAATGGCCTTCCAACTGACTTGCTTGTTAATATATATATATACATATATATATATATATATATATATATATATATATATATATATATATATATATATAATTGCCATCACAATAATAGATAATATGAAAAGTTCAAAATAAATACAATGTATCTAAATACAAATTAGAGACCTGTCATAGTAGATCATCTCATCTTAAATAAATCTACAATGTTTTGGAGCAATTTTTAACATCAACTCAAGATTTTTCTTGTTAAATACTTGAATAATTTTAACATGTTCAACATTATGGATAAAAAATAGTAAATTCTATAAGGTGTTTTTTTGAGCCTTAGCATTCATGGATTTGGATAAAAAGAAAAGACCCCAGAATGTCTTGAAAATCTGCAAAAATTTTTGATCCTTTTAATAGTCAGTGGTCGTTAGTTTAATTTGCAACATATATGAATGGATGTCAAAAAAAGCAAATTTTGATAATATAGCAAGAGTCACAAAGAACTGTCCAGGGGCCCCAAACAGGCACCCCCTAACCAGTTGAAGGGTTCAGGTTAGTGTGCACCTGCACTACCTTTATATATATATATATATATATATATATATATATATATATATATATATATATATATATATATATATATATATATATATATATATATATATATATATATATATCTATCTATATATATATATATATATATATATATATGTATATATATATATATATATTTATATATATATATATATATATATCTCTCTCTATATATAATATACATATATATATGCATATATATATATATATATATATATATCTATATATCTATATATATATATATATATATGCATATATATATATATATATATATATATATATATATATATATATATATATATATATATATATATATGTATATATATATATATATCTATATCTATCTATATATATATGCATGTATGTATATATGTATATCTATATCTTCATCTATATATATATATATATATATATATATATATATAAATATGGTGCAATGTGTTCTTTCTACTATTGGAACCTTTTGTAGAATCTTGCATATATATATATATATATATATATATATATATATATATATACTGAAGAAATTGTATGACAAAGTTAAAATTTTACTTGTAATGTATTTCATTCTTCAGGACTTCATCAGACTAAATTTCTATGTTGGTATGACATACACATACATACAAATGAGGTTTCTGGGGATTTAAAAATGTTTATTTTTCTATATCTAACTGAATTCATTTACAGTCTTTTTTTTTTCCCCTCACTTTTTTTTATTGGGTATCCCACACTGTGATATTAGAAAATCTGTCAGGAATGGTGAAATGTTGTAAGAGCCAGGGTACAAATTTACTGTAGATGACCTTGGAATAAGTAAATTTGGCTCTTATAATATTTCACCATTCCTGGCAGATCTTCTATTATCACAGTGTGGGATACCTATTAAAAAAAAAGTGATAGAAAGAAAAGAAAAAAACTCTAAATGAATTCAGTTAGATATTAAAAAAATAATAAAATACCCAGCATTCTTCATCCATGCACATGTGTAGTCATACCAACATAACAAATTTAGTCTGATATAGTCCTGAAGGATGAAACATGTCACAGATAAACTTTTTCCCTTTGTCATAAATTTCTCCAATATTGTTCTTGATATATAACAAATATACATCATTATTTCATAAGTATATATATATATATAATATTCAATATTCATATATATATATATATATATATATATATATATATATATATATATATATATATATTTGCAAAAAGACAATATGAATACAGAGCCAAGGAAAACTTATCTTAGCCACCACATTTCGTTTCTGATGGACTTTATCAAGACAAATGTAAAGATTTATTTTGCAACAAGTATTTATAAACAGAATTACAAGAGTAATTTTTTTAAAAGTTTTTTTTTTAATTTACGAACACCCATAAATATACATCAGGCTAATTGAATATCAGGATAGATTACTGTGGATACTAACTGATGTAAGTTAATCTCTAATAAACTAATTATTAATTAATGTAATTATTATTTATATTATTTTAGTCTGACATTAATTCATATATTTTATATATTTTAAAAGACAAAATACAGGAATATAAAAAAATTAAAAGTTAAAAGAAAACAGTAAAAACATTAAAATTCAAAACCTATCATCTAAAATATAGAATTAATCTCATACTAAAATAATATAAATTATAATTACATTATAAAAAAAATTCAACAACAATAACATTTACTATCAGATGAGATATTATGATTACATTATTTATATTATTAGGACTGTTATTCTCATTTTCATTGCCATATTTGCAACATTAATAATAGTGGATAAAGGCATTGGTTAGATCCAGTGACTAGACCCAAAGAGTTGTGAGTTCAATACTAGGCTACAACAGCGGTGAACCAAAACACCTGGAAGGTTGAGTTAAAGGAAAATAAAGGAAACGGCATGGCACATGGAACTGGAACGATCTACCCCAGTGGATGAAATAAAGTGTTCAATTCAGAATTCCAATCACCTGAAAAAGGCTGAAATGTTGGCAATGAAGATGAGGATAACAGTCTAAATAATTTAAATAATAGTTTTTACTCACTTTTGTTTATTAGGCATTAAATTACACTACTTAGCATCCTCCATATCTTGACTTTAAGTTAGCTTGATATATATTTAAATCCTGAGAAACCAAGGACATTTTTTTCTTCTGTTGATGAATACTTGTTGCAAAATAAAATCCTTAGATTTGCCTTGATAAAGTCCATCAGAGGACAAAATCTGGTCACTATAAATTATACTCTTGTCTGTACTTTATTCATATATATATATATATATATATATATATATATATATATATATATATGCATGTACGTATGTATATATTCAATTTTCCAGGCTTACATATGGATATATATTACAGCATGTCTGTGTGTGTATGTGTGTGTGTGTGTATGTGTAACTTTTAACTTGTTTTGGTCAGTATAATGTCAATTATACAAACATGTCTCACAGAATATTTCCTGCCAAAACTCCAATCGATTGGCCATATCATAAGAATCCCACCATTTTCTAGAATTACATACAAAGGCTGTCTGACTTTATTTGTGTCCAAGTATTGCACTCACACACACCTTTATTTTATGGAACCGTCCAAGAGGTAATAGGTTTGCCTCGGGGTCCGCCAAATTATTGCAGACGAGTTACTCTCTTTCCTTGACGTTTGACGCATCTCTGATCACCCATGGTTGGGGATAGGTTGGCAGGTTGTGTTGTAAACTGAGGAGGAAGAGGGGAGTGTGAAAGGATGGATATAGGTGGATGAATTGTCGGGAGCCGAGAAAAAATAAGAGAAATAAAAATGGCATGGCGCTGATAATCTTTATGGGAAAGAAAGGCCAAATGAATGAAATCACTGCTTGATAACAAAAAAAAAAATGTTAGAGAAATGCAAAAAAATCACAGTTCCACTCTAGCTTTTCTTTATTTTATTTATTTATTCATTTATTTTACTTATTCATTTTTTATTTTATTTATTTATTTTTTGAGAAGGGGAATCTTTTTTTCTTTGATTGCCAAGGGCAAAGTGCGAAAGAATTGCAATCAGAGAGTATCCTGTCTGTGACGTTTTTGGCTTCTCTCATCCCACCAATATTTTTGGGATCAGCCACTGCTTCTCTCGTTTGCCCTTCAGGGCAGAAGACAGATGTGGTGTTGCTGGCAAATGAGCAAAGAAAGAACAGAATAAAAAATAAAATAAAATAAAATAAATGAACAAGAGGCAGAAAGAAAGATTACTAGGTTGGTAGAGCACTTTGGAAGGCTTGAAGATGGTGATTCAGTTTTGGGCAGGAGACGAACAAAAATAGTGTCGTTGGGGATCATTTGAAGCTTATAATATGATGAGGCAAGTTTCAAGCTACAAAAACTGGACCCAGGGAATTTTGAGAGGGAGCATTGGCGGTCATTGGAGATATAAATGACCAGATAAGTGTTGGTGTGGGAGCAGACTGGACCATTTTACACATGATGGCAAAGGATCGCAGAATATGGACAATTGGTTGAATTGCTGGAGTTTCAAATTAATGACTAAGGCTGGCAAAGAACATGGAAGATTTGAATGTTCACTGTGAATGCATTTAAGTGAGGCTTACAAGAGATTTAAAACTATGAGCATTGCTGAATTGAACGGAAAATTTTCCTGAATATTTTCTGGAAATAAAAAATCAAGGATTGGTGATATGACTTGAAAATTTGATGCAAAAGTTTGCAGCATTTTCCATCATATTTTATTCATATGAAATCATATAATTCTTATTTAGTCATCAAAGTATTTGCTCCGGTTTTCTGCAACCATATGCCTCCTTTCAGCTAAACTATTTATTTTATGATAAAATAGGACTTTGTTATCCACAGTAGATAGGTTTCATGACTTCTCACCACAATAGTGAAAGCCATGGATAATAAAAAATTCTGTATGTCTGAAAATGTTCAACAGGAAATTGACCCATATGCTGTTAGCAAAAAGTGAAACTGCTGAGGTGAGTTCAAATTCCAGCCAAGTCTGTTGCACTCACTTTCATGATAATGCCCTCACAAAAGGGACAAATCTATTTCTTTCCCCAACTGCTATGGGTTAAATAGCAATATAATTTAGGAGGCATGTTGGATTAATGGATAGTGGGTCAGACTGAGGAATTGTGGAGCTGAGTTTGAATTTCAATTGAGTTCATTGCAGTTAATTATGTGCTAATACTCTTGGGAAACATACAAATCCATCTCCTCCCCCTCCACCAGTTATGGCTAAATAGCAGGACAAAATAGGTCCTATATCCTTTGGTGGCAACAGGTCTAGGAGAAGAAAACATTCTGAATTCAAAATGAGCATTGCAATGGTTGGACTTTGTCAGGTTATCTTGTTCTGGAAACACCACTGCTACCAAGGTTACAGTTATATGTCTTAGTGGCTTTACTGCCTAGCATGGGGTGAAACCTTTTAAAAAATGTATAATATGGCAGACACCCATAGAAGGGTGGAGGGTACAATAGCTAAAAACATTGTTGTTGGTCTGAATAAAAAGCCAAATAATAAGGCAGACGCCTGAAGAAGGCCAAAGGATAAAATGACTGAAATGTGAAGAAAACAACCAAGACAATTGATTTGTTTTTTATGGCTTATCAAACATTTGCAGGTTATTTAAAGCCAGAAAATATTTTTTTAGATTGTAAGATTTTTGGGAGATACCAATGATTTTATTGAACAAGTCCTACTAATTAAACCATATCTTATGAATGGATTATTAATACTTTTCCCAAGTGTATTTACACATAAGTGAATATAACAAACCTGACTGTAATTGGAACTCCTACTATCCAATTTCCAATTCCATGCCATTATCCGTTACACCACCTTCACATCCGAGCTTACAGCACCTTGTATTCCCAGGAAATCACCCATATATGAATTGTTCAGGCTTGATGTTGCTTAACTTCAACAATAAAGGTGTGTAAGCTGGTTCAAATAGAAAAATAGACGGACTCCTGATGAAGGCCATGGAGTACAACGGTCAAAACATTGTGCACATAACAACAAAGATGAGAATGTCATTTACATAAACAGACACCTGCCATTCTTTTTTAGAATTACTAACAGAACGATGTAGGAAGGAAAGAAATAAGGAAAATAAAAGCGGATAGAAAGGAAGTTAAAATGTCGTGGGGGGAGGAACATGAAGGAAAATGGAAGAATGTGGATGTTGTGAAAGTTTTGGAAAAATTAGCAGTTTTCGAGTGGGTTTGGAGAAATCGAAACAGCATCAGAATTTTGAATGAAATCATTTATTCTTCATTACTAACAGTGATAAAATGGCACAATCCCTATCCAGATAACAAAAAATGAGAAATATTCATTTATTCTTGCTATGCAGGAATTTGAACCAGAATGGGAAAAACAAAGGAGATGTTTAAGTATTTACAAGGCTGGTGTTCTTGAATGGGAATTAATGGATTTTACGGTTCTTCTATTCAAATTATCTATGTAACTTATTATTCCCATTTATTTAATTATGTCTCTGTGACCTTTGATAATATGTGTAGAATCTATAAAAGAAATATGAAAATTTTCATTCACTCTAATGGTAATGGTAATATTATTCATTTCCTTATAAAGAAGCATTTGGTATTCATTGACTGAACAGATATTGCTACTCACATTATGCTTTTTATCACTCCCTGCCCATTGGTCCTGGATAAAAGTACAGTATCGGTTTTCTTCATCTCTAATGGTAATGGTAATAGAATCCATTTTCTTTATGTGGAAACATCCAACATTCATTGATTGGGCAACCAGTGTTATCTGTTCCCCTCATCACCAATAGGGGTAATATTATTTGCTTCCTTATAAGGAAACATTTGGAATACGCTATTTTTCTTTTAAAAATGTTTATCACTCTTTCCAGTATTGATGTGTGCTTTTCTCCTAACCATTTTTTTGAAGTAGCATGAAATGTCAACATCTTGATTATGTCACTATTTTTTTAAGGCATTTCACTCCAAGCAAAGCAGCAATGCCACTAATACGCAAGAGGCTCTAGAGAGTTTAAGTAAGGGAAAAGACTGGGTATATGGGTGGGTAAGAAAAGGATAAAAAGAAGAAAAGAGGAAGATAAAAAGAAGAATGGGGATCAAGTCAACAGAAGATGTCGACTGACATTACATTTAAATGTTTGAAACAAAGATGAGGAAAGAGGTTAAACTGTTGAGAAGTGTGAGAGAAGAAGCTTTTAGAGTAGAAGAGTTGTCTTTGAGCCACATTTCCTATCCATTTTAGTTGTTTCTGTTGTTGAAATTCCTCAAGTGATACAGGGTCTATCATGGAAATGATCCAGCCTAACTATGGCAACATATCTAGTCACCTTACAAATACCCCCCCCCCAAAAAAAAACTTAATGATGTGAGCCACAAAATTGGAGATGTCAAAATCAAACATGTACAAAAAAATAGTTTATACATTGTTATTAATAATCTTGGGAGACAGAGAATGTTTGTGTATCTATACATGTTGTGTTCCTTCAGGACTTGGGTGATCATGGCTCTCCCCAACCTCAAATCTATCTATCTATCTATCTATCTATCTATCTATCTCAATCTGTTTCTATCTATCTGTCTGTTCATATGTATCTATCTATCTCAGTCTGTTAGGATCTATATGCTGTGTTCCTTCAGGATGTGTTTGACCATGGCTCTCCCCAACATTAGAGCTATCTATCTCAGTCTGTTCACATCTATCTATCTATTTATCTGAGTCTGTTTGCATCTATCTATCTATCTATCTATCTATCTATCTATCTATCTATCTATCTATCTATCTATCTCAATCTGTTTCTATCTATCTATCTATCTATCTATCTGTTCATATGTATCTATCTATCCATCTCCCTCTGTTCATATCTATCTATCTATCTATCTCAATATGTTCATATATATCTACATGTCTATCTATTGCAGCCTGTTCAAACAAATATTTGTATTTACTCTCTTCATGTCTATGAATTTTTCAAGCCTATTTATCACTTTTTGCTTGTTTCTTTTCTTTTTTATCTTCTTCTGTCCTCATTTTGTTCTTTCTTTTTCTTTCTTTACATTTTTTAAATTCTTTTTTCTTTCTTTCTTTCTTTTCTTTCTTTCTTTTCCCAATTTTTTTGTTTTCCTTTTTTTCTTTCTTTCCAACTGTTTTTTTTCTTTGTCTCTTTTTCTCAAATAATCACTTTTCTATTCTTTTTTCTTTTCCTCATTCTTTTGCCATCATTTTCCATGGTTGTGTTCTTTTAAATACAAGTCACTTGAGACTTCAGCACCTTCTGGGACTTGTCCTTGGGGCAATCTAACTACTACAGCAAAGAAACGCTAGCCATGACAAAACCATTGTTATAATTGCTCCTCTACCCCAAACAAATACATTGTTTACAAACAATCATTGTACTGCTTTTGAAAAATCCAGTCTGGAAATAAAAACAAAAATAAAAATAATTCACACTTCAGGCCTGCCAAAACAAATAAGATTCCTTTCCACATATTTTAGTGGTTTTAACAGCTTTAGGGTCCTTGAGGGGTCATCTGGTCAAGCCTAATTCTAGAGGCTGATTGGGATAATTGATGATGTTGCTAAACAATCCCACCTTGTAACAATAGTTAGATTTATTGCTCTAATGATATATTGGTTGAAAATCCTTAACTGCTGAAATTTCCATGGTAAGGGAAGTAAGGATTTCTACATTTGGAGAAAGTTAAGTGAACTTAAGGTAAGGGATGTTAAAATGAACATAGAAATTGAATAAAAGGAAAAGGAATGAACTAATTTTAGCTTAAATTTAATAACGGAAAGTATATAATTAGTACATATAATGGTGGAAAATTTCTACTGTGGGGGAAAAAAATTTCTACTGTGGGTGGCGGGGGGAGGTTTGGGAATCTGTCTCATCAGTCATGTATTGAAAGATACATGATCACCTAAGTATGTATCCTGCATGGCACATAACTGATTAAATAGTGGAAATTAATACATATAATTGTGGAAGGTATATAATTAGAATTTTGGTGATTTAATAAGAATTTGTGAGAACAATTTAGGGATCTCATCCTCCAAAACTTGCAGATTAAGATTATTTGTGGCTAAATAAAAGATAGATGTTGAATTTAAGATAAGACCCCAAAGAACGAAGTCTCTTTTCACCTTCCAACCACTGATTTCGGACATGTTTGGTAGCCATGCCAATGAGGAGACATTCAGCCACCCTCACTTTACATCAGACTGACCATTCTCTATACATTTGCATATTGTCCCTCCATTGGTGATTCATTTTCTACTCAAGTCTTCATTTTGTTTATTGCAGTCCACCAATACTCAAAATCTCTTAGTGCCAATAAGTCAAATACCCCCTCCCCAACTTACATATATTAGGTGCCTGTAGAGGTTTCTACTGCATATTTACTGTTCAATTTTGAAAAAAAAATATTCTAGTAATTTTTACACACATATCAGGTCATAATTGACAGTTAGATATATTGGTGCAAATGAATACTAAAATAATACAATAATTTTTTTTAATTTTTAGATTTTAAAAATTAATATGAAGATTTTTTTAAATTTAAAAATGAAAATTTTTCTAAAAAAAAAATTCAATGAAAAATTTTAAATTTAAATCTAAAAACTTTAAATTTAAAAAAATAAACATTATAAAAATTTAATGAAGATTTTTAAATTTCCAATTCCAGATTTGAACCTAAGGTTGTAAACATGAAGAAGATATGAGTGGATTATTGGATATGAAATGTTTACAGCTGAGCTTGAGTGATAGCACTATGATTTGCTACCAGGTGAGATCTGAGAGCAAAAGGAATGTTTCAGTAGAAAATATGGTACTTAAAATGAACAAAATAGAAGCCAAAAGAAGAAAAAGATAAAAGTTAAAAGAAGGATTAAATAAAAGTGAAAAGCAGGAAAAGAAGGAAAAGATAAAAGTGAAAAGAAGGAAAAAAAGAAAAGATAAAAGTGAAAAGAAGGAAAAGATAAAAGTGAAAATAAGGAAAAAAAGAAAAGATAAAAGTGAAAAGAAGGAAAAGATAAAAGTGAAAATAAGTAAAAAAAAGAAAAGATAAAAGTGAAAATAAGGAAAAAAAAGAAAAGATAAAAGTGAAAAGAAGGAAAAGATAAAAGTGAAAATAAGTAAAAAAAAGAAAAGATAAAAGTGAAAATAAGGAAAAAAAAGAAAAGATAAAAGTGAAAAGAAGAAAAAGATAAAAGTGAAAAGAAGGAAAAGATAAAAGTGAAAATAAGGAAAAAAAAGAAAAGATAAAAGTGAAAAGAAGGAAAAGATAAAAGTGAAAAGAAGGAAAAGATAAAAAAAAAAAGGAAAAAAAAGAAAAATAAAAAGTGAAAAGAAGGAAAAGATAAAAAGAAAAAAGGAAAAGATAAAAGGAAAAAAAAAAAAAAGAAAGATAAAAGTGAAAAGAAGGAAAAGATAAAAGTGAAAATAAGGAAAAAAAAGAAAAGATAAAAGTGAAAAGAAGGAAAAGATAAAAGTGAAAAGAAGGAAAAGATAAAAGTGAAAATAAGGAAAAAAAAAAGAAAAGATAAAAGTGAAAAGAAGGAAAAGATAAAAGTGAAAATAAGGAAAAAAAAAAGAAAAGATAAAAGTGAAAAGAAGGAAAAGATAAAAGTGAAAATAAGGAAAAAAAAGAAAAGATAAAAGTGAAAAGAAGGAAAAGATAAAAGTGAAAATAAGTAAAAAAAAAGAAAAGATAAAAGTGAAAAGAAGGAAAAGATAAAAGTGAAAATCAGGAAAAAAAAAGAAAAGATAAAAATGAAAATAAGGAAAAAAAGAAAAGATAAAAGTGAAAATAAGAAAAAAAAGAAAAGATAAAAGTGAAAAGAAGGAAAAGATAAAAGTGAAAATAAGTAAAAAAAGAAAAGATAAAAGTGAAAATCAGGGAAAAAAAAGAAAAGATAAAAGTGAAAAGAAGAAAAAGATAAAAGTGAAAAGAAGGCAAAGATAAAAGTGAAAAGAAGAAAAAAAAAGAAAAGGTAAAAAATGAAAAGAAGATAAAAGTGAAAAGAAGGAAAAGAGAGTTAGTAAATTCAGAAAAGAATAATAAAAAAAGGGAAACATAAGAATGAAAATTTTGCTAAAAGAAAAAGAAAAAAGGAAGCTTTCTATAAGAAATGGCAACATTTTTTTTTGTATATTTTAAATACATTCAAAAATAAATGAAGTTGATAAATTTCTGTATTTTCTGGCTTTGAAAATTCCATTTCTCCA